GCCTCGCAGCGCACCACGCCCGAGTGCTCGTCCAGCGAGAGGATGCGATTCAGCCGGCGCATGTTGATCACCACCTCGTCGGCTACCGGCACGGCGCCCTGTGGTCGGTTTTTGTTTGTTGTACCCAAATCAACAATAGTGTGTTTAACTCTTATGAAAGTTGGTAAAAACTACTTACCGCCACCAGCGAGGTGTTGCCCGACTGGACGACGCACTTGAGGCCCTCTCGGTGGGCGTACTTCAAAATCTCCGAGACGTCCTCGGTGCTGCGAGGCAGTAGAACCAGCGAGGAGTGGCCTGCCTCAAACGTGGAACATGATGACAATCATTGTCTAGGGGTTTTCCTAAGAGCAAATGTACAATGCTCACACCTACCTTTAGTAGTGCCCAGCCAGTCGGTGTTGTAGGCGTCCAGGTCGGTGGTCAACACTGCAGAGCTGCTGCAGCCGAGGATGCGAGCAAAGGCGGCCGCATGGTCGGTGACGGCCGCAGATGAGGAGAGCTGTCGTCGAAGGACCGAGATGATCGTCGTGGAAGACGAAGACGAAGGATGAAGGAGAAGATGTCTTTGGATAAGCGAGGAGAGCAGCATTTTCGAAGCACTAGAGCAGAGGACGTTCCCGCGTTCGCGCCGTAGTTATTCGGTTGTTTACCCGACGAAGACGACACTTCGAAACAGTGAAACCAAAACAAAACAGATTTCCTGGTGAAAAACAAAACCAGCACTTTCTCCAGCAGATGGCGAACTTTGCAATGCCCGATTTTGTTTTCTACAATTTACGATTTAGAAAGCTACTTTTGGAAGTTAATAACTGGCTTTTGAATGCTTCAAGAAACGATAGAAGTATCGGGTATTATGTTTTATGTACTTTTATTTACAATCATACAAAAAATAAAAAATTGTCAAAAGGGAATGTTTTGGTCTTTGATTGGGGAGCGCTGTTCCGGTGAGATCTGTAACAGGTTTATGACATAAAAAGAAGAAGAGGAAAAAGGTAATCTCCAAATGTAAAAAAAATGGTCAATAAAAATGAGCTCTGAATGAAGATAAAAAAATGCAGAACAGGCAAAAAAGTTGTGGCAATCTTGAAAAAAAATATAAGAGTGGCAGGAGAATGTCAAAGAAGGGAAGAGTTAATTACAACTTTACAGCAAAAAACAATCTATTTACAGGTGTCGGTGTTTGTTTGTTTGGGAACTTCTTGATGAACGAGGCTGAAGAGGAGGGCTTAAAAAGTGCCTATGTACACAATAATAAATATGAGGTGATGAAGATGAAAGGATAAAAATAAACAAATGGGCTCGAGGAGTTGAATGACTTTGGTGTGGAGCAACACATCAGGAGGGGAACAACAAGGAGAAGAAGAACAAAAACGAAGCATAAGAACAAGGAAGAAGAAGGAGAAGAAAAACAAGAATAGACGACGAGATTTGGCATTTGAGCAGTGGTGGTGGTGGTGGCTGGTAAAAAGGGTATCCTCATCTAGACGATAATCTCACTCATGACTCGAGCCCGAGGATAACCACCTCCATCGACCATATCCTCCCCCGATTGCTGCTGCTGCTGTTGTTGTTGCATGCTCGCATGGTCATAGGTCATCGCCCCGCCACCGTGGTAGTTGCCGTTCATTTCGTCGTAGTACATGTCTTTGAGGTGGAGGAAAAAGGAGTTCACGGTTAGTTGATCATTTTTTATAAAAATCTCTTTTTAGCGCACTTACTCATCTGATTTTTCCTGCTAAGTGTCTCCTCATCCAGAGGCTGATAACCACCACCTCCTCCGTAGTTGTTGTAGGCACTGTAGGCGTTCATGTAGCCCTGAGTTGCCTCCATTGTTTGGCCTGCTCCATTATATCCTCCGTAGCCCATCAACTCCTGCTGACCCATCTCAGCCATGCTCATGGCCATCGCCTGCTGCTGCTGTGCTTCGCTCAATCCATACATCTGCCCGCTCTTCATGGTATTCCAGAACTCCGTCTGGCCAGTCTCGTTGGAGCCATTCGGGCTGGCCTCGCTCCCGTCGCCCGTCAGGTAGTAGTTCTGCGGAATGTGCTGCTGCTGCTGTTGATGGTGCGACAGGCCTAAATAATTTCCCTGAGCAATCAGCGCGTCTCTGAGAGGGGTGAAGGAGGAGCCATACATGCCGCCCCCTGCAGCAGCATGGGACAACGTCTTTGCCTCCAGGTCGGACATGAGTCCTAGAAAAGATTAAGTAGAAGAAGAAGGTTAATAAAGTTCTTCAAAAAATGAAAACTCAGCTCAATCCTTACCCTTATTATCATGAGAGCTGNCAGGTAGTAGTTCTGCGGAATGTGCTGCTGCTGCTGTTGATGGTGCGACAGGCCTAAATAATTTCCCTGAGCAATCAGCGCGTCTCTGAGAGGGGTGAAGGAGGAGCCATACATGCCGCCCCCTGCAGCAGCATGGGACAACGTCTTTGCCTCCAGGTCGGACATGAGTCCTAGAAAAGATTAAGTAGAAGAAGAAGGTTAATAAAGTTCTTCAAAAAATGAAAACTCAGCTCAATCCTTACCCTTATTATCATGAGAGCTGAAAAATGAGTTCGCCCCCAATCCTCCACCGTTGCTGCCCTTTCCGCCCAACGCCTGACTGGTACTTCCGCTGTGACCACCCGAGCTGGTGTCCGACTCAAAGTCAGCACCGGAACCTTTGCCACCTTTGCCTCCCACCTTCTTCTCATCTCCATCTTTACCACCTCCTTCTCGCCGCTTCAGACAACAGCAGACAATGAGGAGGAAGGCGACCGCCGCAAAGACGGCACAGGTGAGCAGCACGCTGACCAGGTGGTCGGTGGTGGAGGCCACTCGCGGGTCCCGGTACACCGAGTCCATCTTCACCAGGTGCTCGTAGCCGCACCAGCTCTCATTGCTGGCCAGACAGAGGATGACGCGAATGTCGGTGATCGCCTCCGCTGTCGACTTCAGGTAGACGTTCTCCAGGTCGGAGAGGACCTCGACGCTGGTCAGCGACGTCCAGGCGGTGTTTGGCGGCGGCGGCGGCGGCGATGATGGCGAGTTGGCAGTGGAGGTCGTTTGTGGAGGAGTTTGCTGACTTTGATTTTGACTCGTCTGACTCGTATGTCCATCCGCCCGCACCTCAATCTTCGCCATCAGCCGCAGACTGACATCATTCGGCTCCACGCGAAAGCTGAGCACATTTCGCTCTCGATCGTAGCTCGAATCAAAGGCGCTGGGCATGTCCTTCAGATTGACCTTCGTCGTCACCTTGATCGGCTCAGAGTAGGCGCTGAAGCCCCGTGGGTTGACCGCCAACACTCGAAACTGGTACTCATGGCGCGATTCAAGCCCCGTCACCTTGCAGGGGTTCATCGTCCGGCAGGACTCGTTCCTCGACTGGACTGCATCGTGGTAGTTGACGACAAACTCGGTGTTCGAGTTGAAGCCGCCGTTGAAGCCCTCCGCCCACCGTAGACTGACCGAGTCGGCGAGCACCTCGAGCACCTCCAGCGAAGAGGGCGTCTCCGGGGGGCTCTTCTTCACCAGCTTGATGATCGTCCGCTCGTCATCGTCGCCCGCCGAGTTGGTCGCTCGGCAGGTGTAGTCGCCGTAATCGGACTCCCGGGTACTCCTAATCGACAGCGTGCCCAGGTGCAGGTCGTCCGGCAACTCGGTGGAGTTTGTTCCGTAGCGGCCTTCGCTGTGCTCTGCATCAAGTGGCGTTCCGCTGTTCGAGTTGCTTCCGCCCTTTCCGCCAAAAGTCCACTCGAAGCGGGGCGTCGGGTAGGCAGAGACCTTGCACTGAAGAATGGCCACCTCGCCCACGTCAAAGGCCACCCGATTGTAGGTGTGGCGGACGACCGGGGTGTGCTCCACCCGGAGCACCGTGCTCGACTTTGCCTCCCGCTCAATGCCATTGTCAAAGTGACAGGCGTAGGTGCCGCGGTCGGCGGCGCTCAGCGAGTTGGCGCCCTTCCGGGCCATCGCCTCAAAGTACAGCGTCGTCGTCACCACCTTCACGTCGGCGTCCTCATTCTGCTCCCGATTCTCCACCCGATACTCCCCACTCTCCGGGTTGATCTCCACGTCGTTGTGCGTCCAGACCACTGTAGGGCGCGGTTTTCCCCTCCCAATGCACGTCAGCTTAAAGTTGGAGTCGCCCTCCTTCGCCTCGTGCGTCGGCTTCATCGGCAGCGTCACCGAGGCCGGCTCATTGACGCGCATGTAGGCGGAGGCAATGGAGCCCCGGCCATGGCTATTGGCCGGCTGGCAGAAGTACCGCCCCTCGTCGGTGACGTGCAGCGCCGTGAAGGTGTAGTTGGCCCGCCTGCCGAGCTTCTGCAGATCCGCCCCCTCGCGCCACCACTCGTACTCGGGTGTCGGGTAGCCGGGCGGATTCGCTCCGCAGGTGAGCGTAAAGTGCCGCCCAGCGACCACTTCCGGTTCGGCAGGGGTGATCGACGTCTTTCCCGGTTTGTGCTGAATCTGCAGAACGGTGGTGGCGTTTCCGGTGCGATCTACGCCGGCCGAGGCCGCCGCTCCTGAGGGCGTCAGTGTGGCGGTGGCCGAGCAGACGTAGGCGCCAATGTCGTCAGCTGTGATGGCGGCAAAGTTGAGCAGAGGGCCGAGGGCGGTCTTGAAGCTGGGGTCGCCCACCTTTGACCAGACGATGCGGTGGGCGGGCGGGTTCGAGGTGACGGTGCAGCGCAGCTGAACGTGGTCCCCCGCCTTCGCCTCCTGCCCCTTGGCCAGCGTGGCGGTGGGCACGCGATCGATGGTGACGATGGGGCCGTGCAGGACGGAGAGCTCCAGGGCGGCGGAGCTGCGACCGACGGCGTTCTCCGCCGAGCAGTCATAGGCGCCCGAGTCTTCCGGCTTGACGCGGAGAATGGTGTGGTTGGGCGTGGTGGCCACGATGGAGCCGCCCTTGGTCCAGCGGATGGAGCGAGCGGGGGGGTTGGCCTGCACGAGGCAGCTCATCTCGGCGTTGCCGTCCACGGAGACGGCCAGCGGGTTGTAGGGGCCGACGGTGATGCGGGGCTTGTCTGAGGTGAGGGGAAAGTATAGGTTTTGGGATAAATAAACATAAAAAAACATTTGCTCATCTTTTTAAAAGTGAAAAAACTTACAGTGAACCGTCAGCCTGACGCTCGCCTCCAGCTTCTCATCGGGATAGGCCCGGTTGAAGACGACACACCGGTAGCGACTGCCGTCATCCTCCAGTCGGGGGCTGGCCAGTGTGAGGGTGTTCCGCGTGGGCACCGCCCTCGTTCCTCCGAGCACCAGTTCTCCGCCCTCCAGTGGTCGGCCACTACCTCCTTCAGTCCCTGAGTCGTCTGAGTCTCTGAACCACTGAATGGTCGGGTCGGGAGAGCCGCCCTTACTGGAGCACTCCAGGCGGAAGGGCTCGCCCTCCTTGGCCACCGCCTGGCTGGGCGTGATCACCGGTGGGTCGGGTGGATCTAAAATACGGGGGGGAAGGTTGATTAAAACCTCCCTTAAAAATCCTCAAAAACCCCAAAACTTACTGAGAATGGTGACCAGGTAGTTGGCCTCCTTCAGCACCGTTCCCGTGAAGCCGATGACAATTTTGCACTGGAACNCCTTCAGCACCGTGCCCGTGCCGCCGATGACAATCTTGCACTGGAAGAGGCCATTGTCCCGCTCGTAGTTGGCGCGGTCCACCCGCAGATCGTACCGCCCCGCTTCGGGGCTAAAGTCGACCCGGTAGTTGCGGTCCAGCGGTGAGTCGTTGATCGCCGCCGGCTCCGTCTTCGACAGCCCCTGGTTCGTCCGGTGCCAGTAGTAGACGACCTTGTCGGCGTCCCGACCCAGAAGAGTGGAGGGGTCGAAGCGACACTCGAGGAGAATGGTCTCGCCCTCCTGGGCGTCNCCGGCTCCGTCTTCGACAGCCCCTGGTTCGTCCGGTGCCAGTAGTAGACGACCTTGTCGGCGTCCCGACCCAGAAGAGTGGAGGGGTCGAAGCGACACTCGAGGAGAATGGTCTCGCCCTCCTGGGCGTCCTTTGGTATGGAGTTGGGAGGGGTGGTGGGGTCATTTGGGGAGGAGGAGTGTATCCTCGAGTCGGCGTCTGATGGAGAAAAAGAGAAGGAAGAGAAAATGTCAGTCAGGAATAGAAATGAGAATGCTAATGTGTGTGTGGTGGTTGTTGGGTTAGCAGACAGTTGTGTCTGTGTCTGTGTGTTTGCTCTGCCGAACAAGTTTTTATTTCTTTTCTTTTTTCCCTCTCCCCCAACATTTCCTAATATAGCCACCTGCAGCAGCAGCAGCAGCATCAAAGAGTGACCTTAATTCGGCCGCAACAGCAGCAGCCAAAAAAGAAAGAAAGAAAGAAAAAGAAAAAACGGGCAGCAAAACCGCAAACGAGTTTTGAGTGACTCGAGAAACCGTTGGCGCAACTTCAACAGGTGTCCGCCGTCGCCGCCGCATCAAAGCTTTTTAGCCTTCTCATCCATTGGACTTACCGACCGACTGTGCAATATCGTCTTAGCGAGGCTGGAGTGCGCATTTGCTTGTGACCACAACAAATAGGAGGAGGAGGTGGACTACAAAGCAGTAAAAAGGGATTTCTCAAAGACCGCAAAGGAGGCCACCACCACCAAGCCGGGCAAATTACCGCCGCCGCCGCATCGAGCAGCAATAGCAGCAGCAACGGTAATTAGTGATGCGGCCACTCACTAATGACTGTCCACAGCAGTGAACACCAAAAGCCAAAGAGAGTTGGCAAGACAGCAAGCAAGTTCCAAGCTTAAGAGTGAACATAAAGTGAACATCTCCTGTTCTTCCTCCTTCCTCTCATTTGCTGAACAAATTAGATTTCAAGAGCTAGTAAATGGAATCTTTGCATGTTGAATGCCGATGCTGCTGCTGTTGCTGCATCTTTCCTTCCCTTCCTCTGACCCTGAAGTTGGTAGGCTCGTCAAAAGCAAATACTACAACCGCCAGTAGGAGGTAATTATTAGGAGGGAATCAGAAGAAAAAGAAGAAGGGGAAGCTGCTGCCAATCCCATCGGTCATTAGAGATGGGACTAGACACTGCTGC